AAGAAAATTTTTCCCCAAGCTGAGGATCCAGATCTTCAGAGCACTAGCTCTTCTGGGACCACCAGTGCAATAAAACTGAGTTCTCTTTCTCTCTGGGTTATTGCTTGGATTTTCACTGGTCTGATTTTTGGAGCTTTTGGGATTTGTCCATAACAATATTATATTAGTTTCAGGTGTACAGCATAAGTCTTGCACCTACCTGGCACCATACATAGTTATTAAGATATTATTGACTATATTCCCTATGCTGTCCTTTATGTCCCTGTGACTATTTTGTATCTATCAATTTGTACTTCTTAAACCCTTCTTATTTTTTACCCACCTCCCAAGCGTCAGTTTGTTTTCTGTGTGTATGAATCTGTTTCTCTTTTTGTTGTTGTTGTTTGGTTTGTTTTTTAAATTCCACATATAAGTGAAATCATCTGGTATTTGTCTTTTTCTGTATGACTTATTTCACTTAGCATAATACCCTCTAGAATCATTCAGGTTGTTGCAAATGGTAAGGTTTCATTCTTTTTTATGGATCAGTAATATTCTCTTGTATATATGTACACCTCTTCTTTATCCATTCATCTATCAATGGACATTTAGGTTGCTTCCATAGCTTGACTACTGTATATGAAATGTCCTTCTTTGACTCTTGTAGACTTTGTTTAAACCTATTTTGTCTGATATAAGTATTGCTACCACAGCTTTTGTTTTGTTTTGTTTTCTTTTGCATGAAATATCTTTTTGCATCCCTTTACTTTCAGTCTGTGTGTATCTTTCGATCTGAAGTGGGTCTCTTGTAGACAGTATATGTGTGGGTCTTGTTTTCTTATCCATTCAGCCACTTTATATCTTCTGATTGGAGATTTTAATCCATTTATATTTAAAGTAATTGTTGATAGACATACAGTTATTGCCATTTTATTATTTATATTTTTTATCTTTTTTTTCCTTCCTCTTAAAGAAGTCCCTTTAACATTTCTTATAATATCGTTTTGGTGGTGATGAACTCCTTTAGCTTTTTCTTGTCTGGGAAGCTTTTTATCTATCCTTCAATTCTAGATGATAGCTTTGCTGGGTAGAGGAATCTTAGTTGTAGGTCCTTGCTTTTCATCACTAAATATTTTTGGCCAGTCTCTCCTGGCCTGCAAAGTATCTGTCAAGAAATCAGCTGATAGTCTTATGGGAGCTCCCTGGTAGGTAGCGAACTGCTTTTTTTCACTGCTTTTAAGATTCTGTGTCTTTAACCCGTGGCATTTAAATTATGATGTGTCATGGTGTGGGCTTCTTGAGTTCATCTTGTTTGGGCTCTGTGCATTCTGGGCTTGTCTGTTCATTTCCTTCACCACGTTAGGGAGGTTTTCCATCACTATATCTTCAAATAGGTTTTCAATTCCTTACTCTCTCTCTTCTCCTTCTGGTACCCCTGTGATGTGAATGTTGATATGCTTGATGTTGTCCCAGAGGCTCCTTAAACTATCCTCACTTTTTAAATTCCTTTTTCTTTTCACTGTCCTGATTGGGTGTTTTCAGCTACCATATCTTTCAAATCATTGATTCAATCTTCTGCTTCATCTAATCTACTGTTGATCCCCTCTAATGCATTTTTCATTTCAGTTAGTATATTCTTCATTTCTGATTGGTTCTTTTTTATGTTTCCTATCTCTTTGTTGAAGTTCTCACTGATATGATTAAGCACCCTTATGATCAGTGTTTTGAACTCTGCATCTGGTAGATTGCTTGTCTGCATTTTGTATAGTGTTTTTTCTGAAGCTTTGTTCTGTTCTTTCATTCTGTTCTTTCATGTTTGTTTGTCACTCTATTTCAGCTGTCTCTCTCTGTTTCTCTCTATGTATTAGGTCAAACCGTTATGTCTCCTGATCTTGGTAGAGTGGCCTTGTGTAGTAAGTGTCTTGTGGGTCCTAGTGGCACATTCCTCCTGGTCACTTGAGCCAGGTGCTCCAGATGTGCCCTTTGTGTGGGTTGTGTGTGCCCTCCTATTGTCATTGAGCCTTAATTGTTGTTGGCACTTTAATGAAGGGGATCATCCCCATATTTATTGGCTGCAAGGACTAGCCATGACTATAGTGGAGGAGCCATTATGTAGGGGCTGACCCCATGAGGCAGGGTTTGCTTTAACGGGGATCTGGTACATGCCTAGTCCACCTTTTGGGTGTGTCATTTGTAAAGTAAATTGGGTGGTGCTCTGGTGTCGTCTGAAGCTAGCCACTGGGTGTCTTGGTTCTGGGACCACTTGGGAAGGGCTACAGGGCAGACCAAGGTCAGCCGCTGCCTGTGCCTGGCTCAGGGCCACCTGGTAGGAGCTACAAAGTGATCCGTGGTTGGCAGTTGCCTGTGCTAGACTTGGAAGTGCCTGGGAGAAGCTATGCTGCAAACCGAGACCATTGCCACTAGTGCTGGGAGCCACTTAGCAAGAGGTACAGGGTACGCCAAGGCCAGATGCTGCTTGTTTGGGGGTTGTGGACCTTTGAGAGATTTTAAGAAAGGCTGCAGTGTGACCTGAGGCCAGTAGTTTGTGAGAAACAGCTGCTGAAAGAAGTTCAAGCCTGTGCATGAGTTGAGTGGGGGTGAGGTCTCAGGGAATCACCTGGGTAGGGTAAGCAGTGATATGTTACCCGTCCGCACCTGCTGGCTGTGGGGGTGAGGGAAGGTTCAACAAAGGAACAATGGCACCTGCCAGTACTTCTGTCTGTGAGAGAGCTGCTCCTCCAGCCTTCACCCCGAAGCCAAACAATTCAGTTCCTCCCCATATATCCCTGGGGAGGAACTGCTGTCCCTTCTCTGGAGCTTATGGCAAGTATTTGTGAGTGAGTCTGTGTGTGGTCTGTTTCAGAGGACGCCTGGGTTTACAGCAGCCCTTTGTCTCACCTTGATGGATTCCCCACTGATTTTCACAGCTAGATGTTGGGCACTGGTGCTCCAGGCTTGGGAGCCTGGTGTGAAGCTGGGACCCCTCACTCCTCAGGGGACCTCCACAGCCACGATATCGTCTCAATTTTTAGTCGCCACACGTAGGTATGGGACCAGTCCATTCTGTGGACTGTCCCTTCCACCAGTCTCGATGTGGCTGCTTCTTTATATCTTTGGTTAGAGAAGTTCTGTTTAACTAGTCTTCTAGTGATTTTCAAGAATAGTTGTTCTATAATTTAGTTGTAATTTTAATGAGGTTGTTGGGGGAGGCAAGCACAGTGTTTACCTACTCCATCATCTTGACTGGAGGTCTGGAGTGAGCATTCAAAAACATGAATCAAATCATGTCCCTCCCCTCCTTGAAACCCTCCAATGTCTTTCATCAGCCTTAGAATGAAAGCTCAGCTTCTGGTTCTAGTTGGCATGCCCATTTGAAATGGCCCCTGCCCTTCCTGCTACACTCCCTCCTTCTACTGGCACTTGCCTTTCCTGGGACCCTCCAAGCTGGATCCCCCTCAGAGCCTTCACACTCACAGGGCTTCACTTTTCCACCAAGTTGCTCTCCCAGCTACGCTCTGCCCACCTCTCAGCCTATCACCTCTATCCCACTGTCATGCTACAGTGTCTTCACGGTGCTTTCCACTCACAAATATAATATTGTCTATTGTTGTCTTTCTCTGTTCCACTAGAGTGTTGGCTCTGGAATGGCATGCTCCTTGTTTATTTCCTTCCCTGCTATAGCCCCTGCACCTACAATTGGGATAGGTGACCAGTAAATATTTGTTACACAAAAGAGTGAGTTCCTGGTGGCCTTTAGACTCCCAGCCCCAATTCTTCCTGAGGCTCCCTGTGTTCCTGCAACACTCATAAGCCTGGAGGTAGAGGAGCTGGCAGAGAGCTCTTAGGGGAGGGAGCTGTTAGGAGTGTTGACCCTGGTCAACATGCAGACTTTGATCTAGAAGCAAAGTGGCTGCAGAGCTCTCAGGCTGTCAAGTGTCTTCACTGACTGTGAACAATAAAGCATATGTTAAGGGAAGGGGGGCAAGCCAGGCTTTCTCCTTCAATACCTGGAGCAGTGTAGGTATTCAGATATCTAGCAGGTTTGCCACTCAATTCATAAACTTGGGTCTGCCAGTTAATTGCTTTTCCAATTGCCAGTTTCACTGGGCTAGAAATTACATGTTGGTTATTACTGGACTTCAAATGGTTCCGAAAGTTACACAGTACTCCAGGAGCCTTAAATGATCCAAGAGCGTGAGAGAGGACCTGCCCTCCCCAGCTGAGCTGGTGTGATCCCCGATTTTCAGTGTCTAAATTCAGAGTGATTCCTGGGAGTCCACTTCCAGGTCACATGTGAGTAAGGGAATCTGCCGAAGCCGGGCACCCTGGACCCTGAGGCTGTCCTTCTCTAAGTCATGCCTCTGCCTTAGAGGTCTTGAGATCACAAGCCTACCCGACCAGACATCCAGGCAGCACCTGTCTCTGCTATCCCAGGCCACACAGGATGCTCTGAGCAGCTCACTGCCACCCAGGGCATAAATGCAGAATGGAAGGTGATACTCTTTTCCACTTTCAAGCCATCAGAATTTAAGGGGTTCAAGAATTTTTCCCCCACACATATATGCCTTCTCCTCTCCCCTCTCTCTTATTCAGCTGAGAGGTGTGTGTACGGGCCCGGCAGAATCCACTGCATTTTCCCAGCAACACAATCGAATGCAAGCTTTCTCATTCACTGCTCTCTACCATCTCTCCCCTGGCCAGTTTGGAGAATTGAGGAGAGAGGGAGAGGGACAGGGAGTGTGTGTGTGTGTGTGTGTGTGTGTGTGTGTGTGTGTGTGTGTGTGTGTTAGGAAGGGTGTGCCGGCTCAGCACAATCAGCTGCACACCTGGACTGTGCCTTTTTGAAATGTAAGAGCCGAGACTTCTTCTGCCTTTGTCCTCTGGGTCCTTCATCACGCCACTCTCCAGGCAGTGCTGGCCCCTGAGCAGAGGAGGTCACAGGATAAAGATGATTAGGCCGGGTAGAAGTGGTTAATCCTTCACAGAACACCCAACCAAAGGATAGCCGAGTCATCACTTTGAAAAGTTTCACAGTTAGAGCATTGTTAGAGCAGTTAGAGCATCGAAATCCTCTGCACACACCTTTTCTTGAAGGCTCACTAGACTGATAAACACATTACAGGTTCTGAGAGGTCACCTCCATGAAAGAGTCTTGTTTACACACCAGCGTTTTCCAAAGCCACTCAGCTTCAGGAGCTTCTCCAGAGATGCTGCATGGGTCTGGGTTGGCTTCGGCTGTTCCCCTTGGGGCTGGTTGGCTCGAGGGCCTGCAGAAACCTCTGGGAGGCTGATTAGTTTCCTATTGCTGCTGTAACAAACCGAGTGGCTTAAAATAGCATAAATTTATTCTCTTACAGTTCTGGAGGTCAGAAGTCCAAAATGGGTCTTATGGGCTTATAAGCAATAATATAAATGGGCCACTTTAAAATGAAGCCAGAGCTGCCTTGCCAGAGGAACTGCCTCACATATATGATACCTCAGACCTTGGAAATGTTAAAATAAGGCAAAATAACATTTGGACTGGGCCTAGGGAAACAGTGCATCCAAAATAAACTGTTTGCAGGGATAACAGGAAAGCAGATATTATGGCTACGGAATTGATGACTATCGAACTGAAAATTAAAAACATTATTTAGAACTAATATCATTGTTATCTGCACCGATAGAAATGACTTCTTTCCAAGGATGTAATTGTTCCCCTTCCCTTTGTCATAAATACCCCTCGCCTTCATCTCCTAATCGGAACACCGTTTGGACTTCTACCTGAATCAGTGCATCCCAGCTATTCTTTGATCTCAAATAAATGCTTGTTTGCCTCTCATTGTGAAAGGCCTTTTATTTTTAAGTTAACAGATGTTAGCAGGGGTAGGTCCTTTTGGAGACTTGATGGAAGAATCTGTTTCTTCACCTTTTCCAGCTTCTAGAGGCCACTGGCATTCTTGGCTTATGGCTCCTTCCTCCATCTTCAAGCGCATTACCCTGATCTCTGCTTCCATTGTCATACCTCCTCCCACTCTGACCCTCCTACCTCCCTCTCATGAAGATCCTTGTGGTTGCATCAGTCCCACCTGGATTTTCCGGGATACTCCCCCCATCTCAAGATCTTTAACATAATCACATCTGTGAAGTCCCTTTTGCCATGTAAGGTACCATTCACAGGGTTTCAGGATTCGGATGTGGACATCTTTGGGGGCCGTTTGTTCTGTCTACCACAGTGTGTGGTGTTGGAGGGAAGGCGTGGGCTGTTTGAATCCCTGACTGGATTCAGGCTATTGTCTGTCGCCTCATATGAAACTGGCTGGTCATTTTTCTGCGTGGGCCTGTGTCAGTAGATCCGGACGAGCCCCTAGGAATTCTGCGTTGCAGCTCACCAGTGCCAACAGGAGTGGGAAGACAACCTTTCAATAAACTCACTTCAGTTTTAGAGTCTGAAATCTGAGCTGTGACTCAGGCCTCCCTGCCCCTTGTATTGACCTCTCATCCAAGCCATTTGATGAAGCCTCTTAAAAAACAGGATACAAATGGGCCGATGGAAAGCTGGCCTTGTGGATCTGACATGGCCTCAGTATGCCCATTCATGACAACCTGGGGAAGAAATGGAATTGGTGGCTTGTTAAGGTCAGGAAAAATGAAACTATCAGCTATGCCAAATCCACACTGAGCTTCAGAAAGGCATTAGGCAGCTGCCAAGGCACCTTGTCTTGGGGGTCAGTGCAGGTGGCTCCTCAGGAAAATGGCTGGCAGCCACCACTCAGCTTGCTCTGTGGCTGGGGCCAAGGACCAAGATTTGAGAGAATCCTGTGAAACAAACAGCTCTGGAGCCACCTGTTTAAACAAAGAAAAGAAAGAAAAAAGGGAGGGAAGGAGGGAGGAAGAAGGGAGGGAAGGAAGGAAGGAAGGAAGGAAGGAAGGAAGGAAGGAAGG